TGCCTGACCCTACTTTGAGCAGTGGGGCTCTCACCCACATGTTATTACCAGCTAGAAATCTTCTTAGAAGTGAAACTTCATGTGGTATCTCCTTCAACACAGAGCATGACTTTTCAATACCTCTACAGAATCTTGAGGATAGATTCCACAAGCACTTAGCTTGGCACTCAAAGCTGGCCAAGCTCTTAGTCAAACGGTCCAATAAAAAATGTTCACTACAATCTTCTCACTGGATGCAACATTGTGGGTCCAACTTTTCTCTGTTTGTGCTCATGTCCTAAATGTGCAGATGGGAGTTAGGCCATGAGCAATCTAACTCCCACCCAATAATTAAAAAAACAACAAATCTTACTGTCTTTATCTGGCAAGAGGAAAACACTTAGGTGGAACAGGGCATTTAAAGCTTAAGAATACTAACCCACTCAATTGCTCTGACTCACAGCTCTGCACTCAAGAAAGCTTCTTATGCCCTTCATTGATTTATTTCCAATGGGAAACAAAGTAAACAAGGAAAAGCCAACTTTCAGTCTTGGAAATATGAAAAAAAAAAAAAAAAACCCAACCACACTCACATATTCTATACTTGAGCCTCAAAAAAATCTGTGCGCTAAGCCTGGCAGCATGGCTCAAGTAGTAGAATGCCTGTCTAGCAAGTGCAAAGCGCTGAGTTCAAACCCCAGTACTACTAAACGAAATAAAATAAAACAGAACAAAAAAATGTTCGAGGCAATGTGATGAAGAAAGTTTCAGTGAGTACACTTGGATGATTGGCAGGAAGTTAAAATTTGCAAGTGAGTTGCTTAAGCATGTAGCCGGCATGGCTCTGGTGAGTCAGGGCATTGAGCCGGCAAGTTAATGCAATTATTCCTAGGCTTCTGCAAGAAAAGCAAGATGTGAATGCCAGGGATTGAGCATTTCCACACGACAGAGGTTTTCATCCTTGAGTGTGTATCACACCCACTTGGAGGGCTAGCTAGAATACTAGCACACAGGGTTTTTGATTCGGTAAGGCCGGGTCTGGGTCTGAGAATCTGCACCTCTAAGATCCCAGGTATTGCTGGAGCTGCTAGGGGCCTGGGAACTACTAGCCTAAAAAATACAATTAAAATTGCAGTTTAAGAAATGGCACTTTAGGGGTGGGGGTATAACTCAATGGTACAGCATCTGCCTAGTAGTTTCCTAGGATGTGCCAGGCATGGGTTCAATCCCCAGCACAGCCAAAACAAAACAAAACAAAAACTACCTGCTCTTCAAGAGGCAGCATTTTAACATGGAGTGCTTAGAAAAATTAAATGTCTAGAGTCACAAAAAGTGGTTCACTTTCATCTTTGGTGAACTCTGAACAATGGCAAGACTGGTGAAACGACAGCTCTCAGTTCTACCTGTAAGCTGTAATCAATTTTATAAAAACTTGTTTGGGTTCAAAACTGGTCTTTTTGGTCTAATTCTATTTGTACCCTAGGCCGATGGGTCTCAAACCTCACCTGTCATCAAAATCACTTGGGAAGCCTATTAAAAACATTAGTAGGCTCCATTCCCAGAGCTTCAGATTCATTAGGGCTGTGATGGGACCGCGAACTTCCATTTCTACAAAGCCCCCACGTAAGGCTAAAGCCAGGTTTGATCCCTTGGAGTACCTCTGTGTTTGAATATCAGTAGAGGAACTAGCCAGGAGACTGACACGTTCTATAGGATGTTGGCAGAGTCAGTAGGAGGAACTAAGTAGACAACTTGGTTTTGTTTTCCCAGTAAAACAAAGAATAAATCCCTTCTCCAGGAACTATTGCAGCAAACCTTCAACTCAACATAATTCAAGTTCAAACAAAGCAATTTTAACATTCAACTCAATTTGTTAAAATAATATTTTATCACCTGAAATAAATACCCAACTTTATCATTTTTGTACACAAAAAGAACACATACTATTTTTCTAATTTAATTTCTATAGTAGTGACTCATGTATTTATTTGGTGATTTAGTCACAAAGCATAATTTGTGAAATTCGCCAAATATTTACAACCTGCATAAAGTATAATAAGCGGTCTGAAAGTTGTCTAAATTCAATTCTAATCTTTGCATTTTGAACCTCATAGTAACAGCTTATTTTTGTAATCAACGGAAAATTCAACTTGGTTTAACAAAACAGCTTTATTTGTGGAAATTTTAAATGGGGGTTGCATTTCTGTCTTATGTACAGTACAGTGACTCTGATTTCAGTTTGCTGTGTAGCACCAGCTGTAACTTAATGAAAGACATCTGAACTCCCTTCCACTCGCTAGAGACTGAAATCCTTCCAAGCTAGTTGTATTCTGAGAGAGAAAGAAATACAAGAGAGAAACCAGAGTTGCTTTTCCAGCTAAATAAGTTGGGGTAATGCTCAGTACTAAATAATTTGCATAGTTTATGGTAAAATAATAGGCAAAGAGACAAGAATAATTTTGGGGGAAAAAGAGCTTTCTTACAGTTTAGAAAAGATAGGGAAATGCCTTCTGCATGTGGCTGCTTTTATTCTCAAGTGTTTTAAGCTACATAACATACAGACCCATTTATTACCCAAATGTACACTGGGTTTGGGATGAAAGTGGCAGCAATTTGTTAGCAATTTTTTTTTTTTTAACAGCGTTTTTCAAGAGAGGAAGTGAAAGCTAAATTTTCAACCGGAATGACAGGAAGGATTTAGGTAAGCAGGATATAATGATCCAAATTGGAAAGAGGCCAAGACACCAGGGTCAAAACCTCCAGTCTTGTCATGGATTCTTAGCTGCAGCAGTCCCATTATATCCTGAAAAATGACTCTGAAAACAACACCCTGGGATACCAGATCTTCTTGTTCCTTTTAGACTATCATCAAATCACATTTTCTCAGTCTTGTCAAAAGATCATTTTCCTAAGCTAATCTGCACAAAGTCTAGGTATACAGCACTAGGGTAATATAGCAGCACCCCCCCCTCCACAGTTTCACTTTCCATAGTTTCAGCTACTCATAGTCTGAAAATAAGATGGAAAATTCCAGAAATAAGCAATTCATAAGTTTTAAATTGTATATCTTTCTGAGTAGCATGGTGAAACCTCATGCTGTCCCACTCCATCACGCTTGGGATGTGAATTATCCTTTTGTCTGTCATATCCACTTCGGGTATGCTACCCTCCCAGTCAGACCCTTAGTCACTTAGCAGCCATCTTAGTTATCAGTCACACTGCTTGAGCTCTCAATAATGGCCCCAAAGCGCAAGAGTGTTTCCAGCAGAGGAACCAGCAAATGCAAATTCCCAGAGGCAGGACGGAAATCAAAGGATAAAAGGAGATTGCAACAGAAAGGGAAAGGGGGATCAGGGTGGTATCTTATAGGAGCTTGGAGGCCCTGAAGTATTCTGAGAGGTGGAAGGAAATGATCTGAATTATATTTTTAAAACCCTCCAGCAGTAGTTTTAAGTTATTACCTACAATACAAGGGATAGAGCTAGGACCAAGACACCAGTAGACATCTCTTGGAGCAGAACAGGGAGAAATTATTTCAGTCTAGAACACGATGTACTGATGGTAGTGGTAAGAAGTAGTTGGACACTGGATATATTGGGAAATGCAGCGCTAAGAGTATTTGTTAGTGGACTGACACATAGGGCATAAAAGGAAGGTGTTCATGGGCTAAGCAGCTGAGAGGATAGAGCTGTTGAGATGAATGACCACTGTGGAAGAGCAGGAAAGAAGGGTCAATGGTTTTATTTGGGACTTAAATTTAGTAGAGAATATAGGTATACGGAATGGAGCCCAAATCTTGTAAATAAGTAGAAGTGGCAAGGCAAGTTTATTTACTGTAAGCGTTGAGAACAGCTGAAGAAAACAAATCACATTGCGGAGATGTCTTCACAATGACTTCATCTTTGACTGAAAAAGCACAATCATATTTTCAGGCTCATATGACCAGAAATTATTGATTTAAAATCTCAACTTTAGAAACTCCAATCATCTGGATTTTATTGACTGTTAAAATAGCTACGTGAAATAAGGAGAAAAAATATACAAGATGCTCTTTGAGAAGTAGAAAAACAAAGTTGGTAAAATGGTTTGCTCAAAGTTGGGAAATTTCTTCTGTGTGAAAGTTGGTTCTCCATGTAGTCTACATTAAAATGAAAGTTGGCCCCTTCGCCTGGATTAAACATTTGGTGAGATAAATTCTTCAAAGACTTAGTGTGAACAAAAGAATGTCAACTAGGACACCAATAAATTACATACTGATGTCATGTTAAAATGAAAACATTTTAGATATATTTGGTTAAATTAAATATTTTATTGAAATTAATTTCACTTGCATTGCTCTCTGGTGGAGAAGAGAGAACCCAGGGCGGGCCTTGAACATGCCAGACATGCACTCTACTAGTGAGCCACACCTCTGGTCCCTTGCCTTTAATATTTTTACTGTTATTTATTTTTTTGGGGCTAGAGATTGAAGGCAGGGCTTTGCCCATGCTAAGTATGCACTCTACTACTGAGCTATCCCCCGTCTCTCTTTTTTACTTACTAAATGTGGCTATAATGAAACTTTAAGTCACACACATGGCTCACACTGTATTTGTACTAAGCAGTTCTGAGACCACCGCTAGTCAACTATGGATATGCTAACATCCTTAGTGTCTAGGAGCCTGTGAGAAAAGCAGATTCTGGGCCCCACGACAGGCCTGTTGAATCAGAATATGCATTTTTAATAAAATCCTGGGGACTCCTGTGCACATTCAACTTTGAGGAGTCCTCAGCTGGCTTTTCCTACAACACATCACAGCAAGTACGTGGGTTGTTGTTCTACACGAATGACATGCTAAAAAGGTACTGTGCTGGCTGAATTTTCTACACAAACAATACCAGCAAAGCAATGGGATTTTAAAACAATTCAAATGATAATTCAATTTAAAAGTATACATTAAAGTTATACTAAGCAAAAAAAATTGTATACATATAATCTCTCAGCATATGCTGGGAGAAGGGGGAGGCTATTTTGATGGTACCTTAGTTACTTCTGGATTTTCAGCCACCATGTAAGTGAAACTGATGTTCACAAGATCTGTACCACTGCAGACACAAACTATCCGCCCTTCTAGATCATTTTCAGATTTTCCAACAGCTTCAAGAGCAGCCAAAATTTTGGGATCCTACACAGGGTTATAAAAATAGGAAATATATGTTAGATCACAGAACATGAGGAAAACATGGTAAGAAGAAACCACATTTGGTAGAAAAATATACATAGGGAAAATGATTATTTTCTCCTAATCAAAATGCCCAGTAAGCCAGTATTATTTTAAGAACTGAAATTTCTAACACTCCATGTTACTTAAAATTCCTTAAGAAAGGTATAATAAATTTTTTGATTTAGAAAGCTGTCTTAAAAATCTTTGCTTATATTTTCTGGTGTTAATTTACTGAAGGACCTAGAATATAAAAATGGTATAGGAAGACTATGACTAAGCCTACTTGTGTCCACAAAGATCCAAGGAGCCTCTCACCAGAAGACAGTCACAAGTGTTTCCATAAACAAATGTGGCATTATCACAGCCAGCTACCACAGAGTAGTCTCAAAAACAAGATTAAGTCTTCCAAACAGCCTGGATACACAGAGTGAACATTTTCATCTCTATATGTCATGGCATCCTCAATCAGAATGAAAGCTGTGAAAGTCTGGCCTAATTCTTAAATAAAATAGTGTCTTTGTTCTCCAAAAAAACTCAGAAGGAAGTGCCAACATATAGTTACACAGAAAATTTAATAACGTAGAAGAAGACAGCTCTAAACAAATAAAAACAAATGGGAATGTAATTTTGTTTTGAACAGCTAGACCTGCAGGGCTATTATAGAAGAGGGAATACATACTGTGATAAAATATTATATAAAGAAACATTTTTAAAAATTCCTAGCACCACTATGCAAATAGCTTCTTATTCAAACAAATCAATCACTGTGAAGAATACTGATTTATGCACCCTGTTTGGTTTTTTTTTTTTTCTCTCAGAGACAAACTGAGCCTTTTGGGTGAGCCAATGTCTGCGTGCACAGGTACACAAATAAGGGTCTACCTCAGTCACTTAAATTTCCATGTCAACAACAGATGAAAAGTGAATCAAGGTTTGCTAAGAAAAGGGGGATAGGCTTATAAAATTAGTTTCTGAGTTTAGGGAACTGTTTCTTTGGTGCTAATATCATGTAAAGCTTTTAGTGTCCATAGGTTAAAATCATTTCTAATATAAGTAAAGATAATGCAATGTCAATCACCAAAAGTTACAGATGAGAAGATATCTAAATTGTGTCAGGTCTGAATTCCCCACTGATGGTGTTGGGGCAGTAATGAGTTAAACAACATCCTGAAGAGCATTTTCAACCTGTGTAAATCTATGTCTAGAAGAACAGCAATCACCAATCACAGGTACCTTTGGTATGGCTCCCAGCCGAATACTGTTGATGAGGGAACATTCTAGCACTTGTCCTTCCTGAAAAGAGAGAATACAACCAGCAATGAGCTTAAATTCTGTCAGACTCATGCACAAAGTGCAAACATTTCCTTTTCTTTCTTTCCTTTTTTATTTTTTTTTTGAGACCAGTTCTCACTATGCAGCCCAGAGTGGCCTCAAACTTGCAATCCTCCTGCCTTAGCCTCTCCAGTGTTGAGATTACATACTAGTATACCTGGCTTCTTAGCAAACATTTTCTGATGATGAAGTCAATGATGATTAAAGTAGAAGAAGGAGTGAAAACCAAGTAACAATAATTATCTTCAACAATTACAAATAACCAAGACTCCACAAACTTTCTATTTCAAATATATATATGAGTATACTGAATAACTATAAAATATTTATAAAATTCTGTTTATTTTATACATACAATATAGCTAAGAATGTCTGCATGTCATGAAATATACATATGTGTACACAAAATATTAAGTGGTAATAAACTTTTATATAACTCCAATTCCACGTTTCTTAAATTAAATGCAAATGTCCCTTACTTGTGTTCATTGTACTATGCATCAAATTAAGTCCCAAGGTATAATAGAATGAACACCCTTTTCATATACCTTTTAGGTTTTAGCTTGAATATCTTTTTCTGGGAAATCTTCCTAATTCACAAGATTAAATCAGAGCTGCCTGTCATAGGCTCTTGTAACAAATCTGAATTTATTCACAACATTCAACAACTTGTAACTTTTTTAAAATGTGTCTCACTTTTCACCTACACTAGAATCTATGAGGGTAGGATAATGTCCTGATCACCACTGTACCCCAATGCCTGGCACATGAAAACATGTTTTCAAATATTTTGAATGAATGAATACGTGTAAGGTCCATGCCTTCAAGAGGCACTTCATAGATCTGTTGACAAATGAAATGATGCAAGCCAGACAGCAGGAAGAACAACGTGTAGTTCTTGTGTCATACCTTGCCTTCACTTTTCCAAGTCAAAAAGAAGCCAAATTCATCCACTTTGAAGAGGCAGTTAGGTTCAAACACGAAAGATTCCTGTTAAAAAAAATTTTTTTAAATGTGTTGATTTTCATGACTTGTAACATTCTGAATCTAATAAAAATGCAAATATCTTTGAGCCTCTAAACAAAGTAAAGTGAGAAATCACCTTTGTGCATCCTGATTCTAGTCACATTTCTTAGGATACTATGGAATGTTTTCAGTTTGAAAACTCTTTGCATTCCTTTTCTGCACTGAAAGACTATCAGTTTAGTAGAGCATCTTCCTCTGGAACAGGTTTGAAAATAAACAGCACTAATGTCCTGTATGATCTTTACAGAAAGGTTCCCTAAGATCTTGAAAGAAGAGCTCCTAGAAAGAAGGAGTGTGAGGTTCAGCCTCTTGGTTTCCCTCCATATAAGAGAAACTGCTGCCTGTACCTACCATAATGTCAAAAAAATCAGTGCCAATCATGGTGGTGCATGCTTGTAATACTAGGACTTGGGAAGGCAGGAGAATCACGAGTTCCAGGCCCGTCTAGACTGTACAGAGAGTTCCAGGCCAGCCTGGGCTATATAGTGAGAACCTGTCCCAAATGAATGAATGAATGAATGAATGGATGAATGAATTAACAAACAAACTAGGGCTAGTGATATGTTCCAACATGCCCTCCAGGTGATTCTGATGCACACTGAAGTATGAGAACCACTTCTGTGAACTTTGACACCAGAAACTCAATGCAAACTACAGAATCAAATTTTAAATCAGGAACTGTTGGCCAAACTCAGGAGATTAGAGCAGTTGTGCTATATTAGCCAATGAAATCCTGGTCTTGAATAAGAGAGTAGTACTGTGTTTAGGATTGCCAGGAAAATTCTGGAGAGAAAAAGAGTGATCAGGAAGTGAACCCAGATACCCTGTGTCCTTCGTTAGTGTTACACCAAGACTTGACACCCATGCTTCAACAAATCTCCATGTTCGTTTAATGATCTACAAACCTGTCTTTGTAGATCACTGTGATACCACCAACTAGGAACAGTGACTTAAAACAAATGCATAACAACTATAAGATTAAGATTTTAAGGGTACTTCAGACTCAGTTTGACCCATCAAAATCTATCTTTCTGAATACCAGCAACATTCATGAAGATAAATCCATGTCACTATGAAAAGGCAGAGTGTAGGGTCCTGGGAATCCTGACTGAAGCTAGCCCTCAATTTTTGGGGGACTTTTCTGGAAGGAGAAGTATTATCACATGAATTCTAACATTATTCCAGGCATGTACTGGGCAATGCAGATAGAGCAATAAATAAGATAAAGGCAGGGTATGGTATGACCTCTACCTTAGGATCAAAACCCAGCTTCACCATTTTTTATTTACCTTCTAGAAAGACCCTTTCTAAGTCTTAGAATTATTGTCTAATAAATGGAAACCTTTGGGTTTGTAGTGAGAATTAAATGAAACTGGGCAGGCAAAGTACATAGCACAGTGTTACAGATTAGCAGGTAATGATAATTATCAATAATGTATGTTTCAAACTTGAGATCATGGTAGCAAATTACTAACAATATGGAATTGTTGATATGTGACACTTAAAACTCCTTCAAAATGACCTTTTTGGACAGTCCAATCTTTTTGAACAGGCTTAATGTAGAAGTTGTTACTTTAGATGCCAGACAAGAAGCAGCATTTGTAAACATATGTAGTCTTGACCTGACACTGGAGAGAGACTTCTGAGGAGTATGGTGCAGTTAGAATTCCTCAAAAGAATGGCAGATGAGATAGGACACATAAATAAGAGCAGGGCATTGGAACAGTCTTTTATGCTACACAAAAGGCACTAGATTTAACTTAAAAGGTCATAGGAATCTGATATTGTTATAAATTAAGAAATGAGAACTACCAACTAATGAAGACATGCGGAAAACCTGGGGCCTAAAACTCTGGTTTCTTTGTAAAGACTGAGTGTGGTTTTGAGGCACCTTCTGGGAATTCCTGTTGTACCAGGAGCTCCACTTAAGTGCTCCTGTAAAAGACATAATTTCCAAAACTGGACAATGAGAAGACAACCCAAGGCAGAATAGTAAAATAAGGACAGTAAAAAGTAGCAGCACCTGTGGTAAGGTCTCATACAGTTAGAACAGGGTGCCAATTTGGCTCTGGGACTCAGCAACCCAATCAAAAAAAAAAAAAGAGAAATATTTACAAGGTGCCCATGTGGTTCATGACATTAAAAACACACCAGTTGTTAGGAGGAGCAATGGTCAGAACAAAATTCTCCAGGGGAACCTCACTAAGAAGTCATGACTGAACTAAAGACAGATGCCCACAATCAGCTCATGAACAGTAGCTGAGAGGTTTCCAGACCAAATCAGCTCAAACCACCCATGAATGTAAGAAAGTAAACCTGAGATACATGTGGCAAACAGCAGAAGGAAAGTAGAACACAACATATTTAGGGTTTTTTTTAACCTCCTGTTAACAATCTGAGGCCCTAACCCTCTCTCTGGTTGGTAATTGCTATTGTATTTCCCTGGCAGCAGTTTTAAATTTCACATGGATACCTCCTAACCAGAACTTGGGCTGTGGCTCCTTGGCCAGACCAAAGCAACAATATCCTAAGACCCCCCCCCCACCCCCCTTAGGAACATTCTCCTCCAGATCTGGGCACTGCAGGGGAGCTCTTAACAGAAAGCCAGGCTCTGTCTTATTTGCAGATCTGTTTGTTTTGCAGTGAACAGATGGTAAGAGAACTTTCTGGTAAAGAAACAAATTATAACAGAACTTCTTCGAGGGAGTCCAGAATTTTAGTTTTCATATGAATTAGGTAACATTTGTCACAGTCACCCCTTAGAGCTTGAGCACCTGTTATTCTTAGGTTACAGGGCTAGAAAGGGTAAAGAACTCCTTTGGTGAAAACACTGGACAAGTGGTGGCTAGAGGGCATTTGAAAAAAGTAAGAAGCATCACTTTGGCTATATGTGCTTTTGTCAGGAACTCTTTCTGGCCCAGGAATCCCTGCTCTGAGGGGCTTATGCCAACAGGCTTACCTAATAGACAACTCTCACCTCATCAAGGATAGTATTGTATCTTTAAGCTATGTGTTGTTTTTAGTGTATTTTCCCAACATTTGCTGTTTCCATATTATTCCATATCACAACTTGTCTTTCAAAGATTCAAGTACTTTCAAACTGACTTAGATTAAAAATATTTTTTCTTTCTTTCAATTTAAAGTTATTCTGTCAAATAAAATTTAACCTCCTTTCTTCTTGTAAGGAAAGACTATTCTCATTGAAGAAGAAGAAAGTATTTGGCTGTGGGTTCTAGATAATAAATAGTTGATTTTATTTTAATTGAGACCTGAGGTTATTCTTACACTTTCTCCCTTGCCCATAATTACCACTTTTCCCACCATAATTACCCAAGTTAATTGCAAATGTCTATGTCTTTATACTGTCGATTTGTGTTACCAATAGGATACAATCAGGTGTTTCTACCAGTTAGGGACAACTATTTGGAACTAGCTAATCAAAGGTTTAACTTCACATTATTTAAACATTAATTGTTCAGGGGCTCTTTATATATTTGTGACTGGTCAGGTAAATTAGGACATAGAAAGGAGTGAGGGTTTGTGAACTCCATCAAAAGTCTTATGCTTTCTGAGAAAGAGGACCTTCAAAGGAGATGGCACGGATGGCACGCCACCTCCTGTAGGCCCAGCTTTGTAGTTAATAGTTGCTAAGTGAGCTTCTCACCAGGCACCTGCTTGAGAAACTCAGCAGCCATGCTGATTAACCTCACTAAGTTTCACTTTTCCTATCCTAAAACTGGAAAACGTGATACCTACCTCATAGGACTCTCAGAGAACTAACACTAGAAAGCCTAAGTACTTGGGACAAGGTAAACACTGAATAAATGGTTGTAAATATGAGAAAATATCTACCTCTGAATTTACAGCTGCTGCACAAGACATTTAACAAATACTATCCCACATGGAGATAGCTTATGAGAACTCTGCCAGGTTTTAGACTAGAGCAACACTGTCCAATAGATTTTCCATGACAAGGGAATGTGCCACTTTGGCACTGCCCAGTATGGTTATCATGACAGGGCTATGAAGCACTTAAAATGCAGGTTGTACAACAGAGGTGCAAAATTTTTAATATTAATTATAATTTTAATAGCCACATTGAGTGGTTACTGTACTAGGCGATACAGTTTTACAAAGAAGGGAAAAATGTTCCTGAAGACAGTAGATTCTTCAAAGCCATAGTTGATGAGGTAAAAACCTGGGACTGGAACAAATTTCTGATTCTGAAGCCAACTTTCCTTTTATTCTGTCAATCTGGACCAAGCAGGTCCTCCTCTGCCTATCACCCATGGAGTGTAGGGTGATCAATGAATGAAAACTAATCCACTTTGGGTACATATGTTCTCACTTTCCTTGTTTCCTGGTTTGGTAAGAACTGGACAAAGCAAAGAAGACCTTGTCAAGGTTGGAGAAAAACAAGAGAAGTCTAAGTTAGGGCTTAGACTCAGAATATCTTATTCAATTTAAATCTCAATATAAACCACAACCTCCATAAGAGACCTCATAAATGAGGAAGGATTCTGGCATGGCCTCCAGCCTGGGAACCTGGATGGAGACTGATTTAGAATTAGCCAAGAGATGGTGATTTCAGTGAGCTCCTGGAAGCCTAAAGCCTAAGAGATGCCATGTGGCCCATTTTCCCCATTTTTCTCCCAGAGAAATTTCCTAAATTCTGCATCTAGCAGATCCTTTTTGACTTTGTCCAAAACATCACAAATTTCTACTTTTTCATGTAAACATCAGAAAACATCACAAATCTCTACTTTTTCATGTTGAAATTCTCAGAGATGACATTCTGCCAACAGGATTGCTATAATAGATGGGTATGGGTTCATTTAAGTTGTGCTTACCTTCATAGGTATGGTCTCTCCTTCGAAGAACCCTGAATGTCCGTATCTTTCATTAATCTCCCTTTTAATTTACACATCACCTAAGATAACCAACTGTGGGCTTTTCAGCTCACA